GGTTGGTGAGTGCGTAAAGTAATATACTTTATCCATCCAATTATAAAAGCTTTAACACGTTGTCAAAATTGGTTATAGGCTAAAAAAAAAGGTATAATAATGCATATTATGTAATTTTATATTTTATTTTAGCATATTGTTAGTTATTATATTTTTTGGTTATATATTATTTGTTAATATTTTATTATTTCATTTGTAGGGTCAATTTCATTAAGAGAAAATCTTTCTACGAAGATGTTGATGAGAGTGAGATTAAGGAAACGATAACTAGTTTGGTAAATAATATTATCTTTTTTTAAGTAATTTATTTTTTGTATTATTGTTTTTAAATATATTATTTTATGAGATTTATTTATTCATCTTATTGTTTTATTTTATCGGACTAGTGTGGTTAGAGGAGAATAAAGATATGGAGCTTAGTGATGATGAAATGATTTGTTGTAGTCTTAAAAGATTTTCACCATGTTAGATGAAAGGATGTTGAAATAATTTAACTTTTTATTGTGGTGGTTTAACCTTTTGATGTTTATCTTGTATCATGTATTATGTTTAAATTTTAGTTATTAACTTATGTTTGTTTAATATTTGAATTTTAGTTTATTAAATTTTATATATTTCATAATTCTGTCATATATGGTGAGAATTTATGAGTTTTAATTTACTAAGTTTTATATATTTTATAATTTTATTATTTATGGTGAGAATTTGTGAGATTTTACTAGATAAAAAAAGTTGTATGTACTAAGTTTGAATTTATGAGTGATTTAGTTAAATTTATTAATACTTGTAATATATTTAGACTATGATTTGTTAAGTTTTCAGTAAATTTAAAATGGTAATAGATTGAATTTGAGTTGGCTTGGATTCGAGAAAATAATATTCTTAACAAGTCGAGATCAAGCTTTTCAACTAAAATTTCCAAGCGGGTGCAGGTTAGATATTGAGTAAAATTATTAAAGCTTCAGGTTGGATGATCGAAGGCGAGGAAAGCAAAAAACTAACCCACTCGTTGCCAACTCTAGATGGGATTTAGGGACATGGCTAAGTTCAACAAGGCAATGTTAGCCAAAAAAAAAAAAAGATTGGAGATGGCTAACAAACACACACACGTTGGCTTATGGTGTCTAGCTTGAAAGCCAAATACTTCATGGGCGAGGATTCAAATAGCGCTGCAATAGCGGTATAGCGACCGCTATTTAGTAGAATCGGTACCCACCGTTGTCGTTATTCAATCGATATTCGGTGTGAAGAAAATTCACACCTTTAGCGATTCATTGTGGTCATAAAAAAACGCTGTAGCGGTTAATAGCGGCAATAGCGGGACGCAATTGACGCTATTTTTAGTTTTTTTTTATGAAGAATTTTTTTTTTCATCAGCAAGCATTAAAATTTCAAACTTTAACCAAGTAAAGCCCCAAACACAAAAAAAAAAAAAATTCCTAAATTTATAATGACTTGGTAAAAAAATAGGCTCAATCAAAAATCAAGAAAATTTATTGAAGTCAAGTAATAATAAAAAATTTACCTATTTAAGCGTCTGCAAAATTGTGTTGTATAGGGCTTAGAAAAACTTAGACTTTGAAAGATTTTGCTTGAAACTTTAAAACTTAAAAAACCCATCTATGAGCACTTTATAAGCATGGGTGTTGTACCATGTTGGTTGGATCCAAGAAGAAATCAGATGAATCATTTGGTGGAAAGTTGAATGAAGATGAAATCTTGGAGATTGGTTGGCTGCCATGGTTGGTGGACGATTTGCGAGAATGACAGAAATGAAGACTGCAAGAGTTAGAGAAAAAAAATGAAAGACGTTTGAGTGGAAAGGATGCAGAGGAATTTTGAAAGAAATATTTGGGTTGTAGTCAAGACTTTTGGTGGGCACCTATCAATGCTTGACCAAACAAAAAAAAATATAATTTTATAAATTTAAGGGTAAAATTAAAAAATAATTAGTTAAAATTAAAAAATTTTGAGAATTAATTTTGATTAAAAAATTTGAGAAGAATTTAATGTAAATTTGAAAGGTATTACATCATAATTTAGATGAAAAAAATAAAATATTAATTGATTAATACATTAATTTGATTTTTTATTTCTATTTTTATTAGGATTTTATTAATGATTTTATTGTTTTAATATTTGTATGTTGTTAACTATTTAAATGTGAATATTTTACTATAATAGTAAAAAAATTATAAATAATTTTGTTATATAAATAAAATAAGATAAGGTATCATTAATTACTTTAAAAATCATGAAAATTTTTTTTATTATTATAATTATAATTACTATGTTTTATAATAAGTTGTGCAAATTTAAAAAAAATTCATGACTACGATAACCGTAATAACCGCGATGATATCTATTATATACGTAATCGCAATAAACGCAACGCGACCAAAAATATGTCCGCGATCGTAATTTGAATCTCTGTTCCTGGTTACGTCATTTTTGGATAGTAACCTTTCAATGACATGGAGAAGCATATGGGAAGCAAAACGTGTTTTGCAACAAGGAATTTAGTGGAGGGTGGGAAATGGCAAGTCCATCCGAATTTGGAAAGACAAATGGTTGCCCTCCAACCATATATTTTTGTCTCAAGCTACAAGGGGTGAGTTGGATGAAAACAGTCCGGTGAGTGAACTCATTGATGAGAACACCATAAAATGGAAAATGGAGCTGGTCCTACACATTTTTTCAGCTGCAGAGGCAGATTTAATAAGCACAGTACCAGCAAGCAGAATCAGTTATCCAGATGTTGTGGTGTGGCACCTCAATAACATTAGGGTAGACACGGTTAAAAATGGGTGCTGGTTGTTTTGCACTGATGGGATATGGCACCAGAAAAGAGTGGGGTTAGCAAGTAAGTATAGTGGAAGAAAATCTGGGCAGCGGAGGTGCCAAGCAAGATTCGAATATTTCTGTGGAAAGCTTGACATGAGTGTTTGCTAGTAACTCAAAACCTAGCGAAGAGGAAATTGCAGGTTGACAGAGTGTGCTTTAGATGAGGCCAAGCAGACGAAACAGTTCATCATTCTCTGAGGACATGCTCTACGGCAAGAGAAGTTTGGCAGCGGGTCAACTTTAATTGGGATCAGATCTCAGCAGATGACAGCGAAGACAATGAATGGATATTGAAAATCCTTAACATTGTGAACCAACGGCAACTCCAGCAGCTAGCAATCACGGTTTGGGCAATCTGGAATGACAGAAACGGAGAAGGAAGAAGAGAAGCCTCAGCGTCGGTAACATTTATCATGCATTATATAACTGAATACAACCAGGCACAAGGAAGTGTGTAAGTAGGGAACTACAACCGGCTGTGCAAAACTGGAAACCACCTGGTACTAGAGTCTATAAGGTAAACTTCGATGGGGCTTTCGACAAGAAGGGCAATAAGGGAGGGATAGGTGTCATCATACGAAACTCAGAGGGTGAGTCTATGGGAGCACTGTCTGCTTGTGTGGATAGGTTTATTGATCCATTTGTTGTTGAAACAATAGCAGCAGCAAGAGCAGTTGCTTTTGCAGTAGTCATGGGATTTCAAGTAGTGGAGATTGAAGAAGATGCCTTGGGAGTTGTTAAAAAGCTGAAATCGGTTGAACCGGATTTATTTAGTGTTGGAGTCATAATCCACGAAGCAAGAAGTAAAGCACGATACTACTCTAGATGCCATTTCATGCACACAAACAGATTTGGAAACAAAGAAGCACACAGGCTGGGTAAATATGGGCTTAATATTACTGAGGATATGTATTGGATTGAGGACAATCCTGAGCTCCTCCATAACATTGCCATTGACTCTGGTATTTCATAAATGAAAGAAAGCTTTTATATTAAAAAAAAAAAACCAATAAATTTTATATTGAATTGATATTATTTGCTTATAGAACAAACTTTATATGTCATAAATTTAGATTAATATACACTTTATTAATTGTATTTATTTGTTAAATATACAATTATATTTTCAAAATAGATAAACTAATTACTGTTCACACGTGCAAATAAATATTAATTCTATATAAGTATAAAAGTATAAATAAAATAAATATAGATGAAAAAACAACATTTTGATGGGAATAATTTTTTTTCTTCTTTTTTTTTTTTACACTATTATACAATAAAGAGCAGTTCACTAAAATCTAGCCTAAATAAGGTGAAAAAAATTAAAAAAAAATCAAAAATTGATTTCAAAATTATAATATTAATACATATTATTTGTTTATTCGATTTGATTTAGATTCAGATATTAAATGCCTTTGTTATATTTGAATTGATTTTCGGATTTAAAAATTAAAAAAAATTGAAAATATAGAAATTGAATCACCTTATATATTTTTATTAGTTTTATATATTTTTAAAATTTTATAAAATAAAATAATTATTTATATTTAAGTTAATTTAAATATATTAAAAATTATATTAAAATAATTTAAAATTTAAAATTCAATAAACAAAATTGAATAAATAAAATTTGATCAAATTATTTAAAAAAAATTAATTTAAATTCGATTTAATTTTTAAAAATATTTTTTAAATTAATTTAATTTTTAAAAGTCTATAATAATATATATTAATCAAAATAATCAAATCCAAACGAAAATGTTATGCATGGAGAGACCAAGTAATTTGGTATCATAAAGTTATCCAAACTATTAACCCCTTTGAATGAATTAACGCAACGAGCCAACGTTCAAAAGCGATTAAAGACAGAGTAATTGAGCGATAACCTACAAGAAAAAAGAGAAAGCTGCGGATATTTTTTAAGAAAATTACTTTTCCTTCTAAATTTACCTATAGTTTTCCTTTTTTTTTTTTTTTAAAAATTTTTTTTTTTTTTTAAAAAAAAAAGTAAAATTAGTAGAAAAAAGAAGAAAGCTGCGGATTTCTATTTTATTTTTGAAATTTTATATTTTTCCTTTAAATTTACCGATTGTTTTCGTTTTTTGTTTTTTGTTTTTTTTGCAAAAAATAGTAAAATTAGAAGTAGATAAAATATGAGATTACAATACCAGAATTCAAACTTCGCAGCAGTTCAATCTCTCTCCTTTGATGACATTGCCGACTTCTTCTCTCTTCCGCCGCTTCCACCCTTGGTAATTGTGTTCTCTAAGCATTTATTGGAGAAATTCCTTTGGTTCTTTTTCGTTATTATCATTCTATAATAATAATGATTCTTGATCCCTCGGGTGTTTGCGCCTCTGTTCTCAAGAAAATGTGCTGTGAAAATGGTCTTGACCGATGGCCTTATCACAAGGTAACCCCCTTTCTTCTATGCGATGTTTTTTCTGTAATTCAAAGTTACATCAAATGATTAGAAATTGTCTTCTGCTCTGATGGGTGGTTTAGCTTGTTAGAATAGAAAAAGAAATTCCATGTCTTCTCCCATTTACTTTGTTGACTATCTGCATTTTCATAATAACAGTAATATTTAACCAATTTTGTTGGATACCCATGTTTCATTTGTGCCTGCTTTACATGTTTTCTTGAGGGAAAATCTTTTAATGCAGCCATTTTGACATTGCTATTTTATTCAATGCTCCGTTCTATGTATAATGTGATTTTGTAATGTGGTCTAGTTTTTAGCTGGGAAGAGCATTGAAGAAATTAAGAGGCATGCAGCTGGAGTTAGAAGAAAGGAAATCAGAGCTGTCAAAGGTTCATTGGCAAAGGTATGATGTCGCAACATCTGTAAATTTTGATTGTCTTCACATTTACTTGGATGTATTTGTGTTAATGGATGTAAATTTTTTGGTGTTCAAGTTGGTGTTTTATGTGGATTCATCTTGATAATAACTTCTGTGTTTTGTGCTTCTCTGATTATTGTACACACGTAAGTCACCATGACCTTTGTTTAGTATGCTTTACAGTAGTTTTCATCTATCAATCATGTAGTAGGTAAAATTATTCAATTAATTACTAACAAAAGCTATTGAAGATAATGTTAATTAAAATCTCATCTATCTTCTCATGGAAAAGGGTATTCATAGCCTGCAAGGAATATAAAACAACTTGAACCTAAAAAAAATCAATTTTTAATGTTTAAGTTATGAGCTTTTTCTTCTTCTTAATTTTTTAAGAAAAGAGAAAGACTAATCCATGGAACTTATCTAGCGCAAACAAGGACCAACCCATTATTTTGACCAATGGATTCTTTGTAGTTATAGTTCAGTTAAGCTCCATCTTACTGCTTTGTGAAAACATTAGCAAACCTCTCCAAACTTCTATAAATAGATGCCCATGTTCAAAGGAGCAACAGATTTTTTTTTCTGGGTGGGTAGTTGAGCTCTAAAAGAAGATTTTGGGCAATTGTTTGTGTTTGTTATGTGTTAGGTTCCTAGCTGATTTCAAGCTTGTCTTCCCTTAAGAATCTCACCAGGATTCCCTTATGGTGTAGATTAAAAGTTCAAACAGATGATGAGTGATGACATGGGATAATAGTACCATTATCTCATCACATCATCTCTGTTGGGCTTGTGAATCTCACGTTGGGATGTGTGTTTTGTGTGTATGTGAAGTTTCTTTTATTTCAAAAAGATAAAAAAGAGAATGATGGAGCCAATCTTTGACTTGTATCAGTATCTAGTGTCCCAGCTTAGATGCGAAAGGTTAAAGATAATGTTATTTTGAACGCTTCACCTCTTTCTCTTTTATCAAGAAAACGAACTGAGAACTGCATTGATCTTTTTGGCAACCACTCGCCAGCTTCAAAATGTAAGACAGAATATAGGTTAAAAGCCATTCATTGTTGGGCAAAAAACACAAATATACTCCTTGCTTGCTTTGACGCTGATTATACTGCTCTTCAACACCTCCATTCACTATGGTATTGTAGTTGTTAAGACTGTATAAAACTTTCTTTCATGAGAAACCTATGGTTGTCATGCTTTTTTGCATATGATTGCTGCTGTTGAACCACACTGTTGCTCTCCTACTGGCATGGCAGTTTTTCATATTATTGTCCATATTGTCATAACGTTTAGATCCGGGGATCTATCGCTAGACATTAACTTAAGGGAGTCGCCACCAATCTTTTTTATCTAGGTGCGATTGGCCACCTAAGGAATCTATCCCTTCAGGGAATACCTAAAATTAAAGGTCCCTAAAAGAATAGGTTCAGGTCTACTAACCAGAACAGGGTTCGGGAGTTCGGTTACGTGTGAGGAAGGTTATAGCACTCTCACAACGCCCATCAAAAGATGGTACCAGCTTAAATTCGTGTTATCCAAAAAACCTTAAAATTTTACCAAGTAATTAATTGTTAGAAATTATCCTCAATTGACTCTAATACTTTTAGCAGAAAATTGAAAAAATTCCCTCACCTCAAGAGTATGCAAGAAAAACTACTGTTTCACTTACAGATGCTCCGTTGTCGGATTAATTAAAAAAAAATCAAAATCAAAATCAAAATAGAAAGGAAGGAAAGGATGATTGTTCTTGTGTAGGGAAAATTGATACTTTCAACTTTTTCCCAAAAATATTTTTTAGAAATTTATTTTTAAGTAAAATTGATACTTTCAACTTTTTCTCAAAAATATTTTTTTTGAAACTTTGATTTCCAAGGAAAATTGATACTTTCAACTTTTCCTCAAAAACCCTGTTTTTGAAAATTTATTTTTAAGGAAAATTGATACTTTCAACTTTTCCTCAAAAATCCTTTTTTTGAAAATTTATTTTTAAGGAAAATTGATACTTTCAACTTTTTCCTAAAAATATTTTTTTGATTTTTATTTAAAGAAAATAGAACAAAATAGAAGTGAAAATAAATAAAGATAAGAAAAAAAAATAAAGAAAAGTAAAACAAAAATAAAAATAAGATAAAGATAAAAAATATTAAATAAATCTAATCTAATAAAAAAATAAATAAATAAAAAATTTTGAAAAAAAAAAAAAACATGGAGCGGCTCCGCTATCGGCTATCGGCTCGGTTCAAGGAAAAGGAAAGGCTCAGGGGGGCGGCTTGGAGTTCGGCTCGGCTCGACTCGGCTTGGAGGGGGTAGACACACGCGCGGGTCAGGAAGCGGGTCGACGCTCGGGTCGGGTCGGATCTCGGTAAAACGCGCAGATCTTCTGGGTTACTTAAGGCCAAAACGACGTCGTTTTGAAAGGGTATAAAAGGCACTTCTCTCTGTTTTTCGGCAGAACACTCCTCCCCTGTCTCTCTCCTTCTTTTTTTCTCTCCCTTTTCTCTAAAAGCTGAAAAACTCCGGTTGAATATTCGTTAGATTCTGGAAAATGTGGCTGGAATCTGAAAAATTTCATCGAAAGTTTGTCGAAAGTTGGTCGAAAGATCACCGATTTTTGGGATTCTTCGTCGGAAACTGGGCAGGTCGTCAGAAACTTCAAGTTTGGCCGAAATTTTCGTCAAAAAATTCAAACTTCGTTTGAAAATTCACCGGAATATGGAATTTTCAGAAAAAAAATCGCCAAAAATTCTCAAAAAATTTCTTCTCACTCTCATAACACCTCTAAACCTTTTCTTAGCTCTCTATATGTCCCTATTCTCTCAATCAGTAGCTTTTGCTTACTGTTTTCTGTGTGTTTAGCAATCTGTTCCAGGAGGTCCCTTTTATAGAGATTGATCAGGAGTTCCTGATCAATCCTAATTCCTCCTTGAACGGGGATTCAATCTTTGAATCCAACCTGGACTCTCTTGATTGAATTTCCCTTCACAGTGGGATTCTTCAACTTTCAATCTCAGCCCTCAAAAAAAATAATAGATAATTAGAAAAGATAAGATAAATAAAAAAAATAATAATATCAGATATACAAAAAATCAGATAAACGGAATAAGAGAGAAAAAAATTATTAACAGATAATACAATAAGATAAATTAAAAAATATTACAAGAAAAAAAAATAAAAAAAAATTAAAAAAAATAATATATAATAAATATAGAACTATATAAATAAAATACATATAAATATTAACAGAAATAAATAAATAAATAAGTAAAAATATACATATAATAATAATAAATAATAAAATACATAAAATACAAAAGAAAAGAAAAGAAAAGAAAAGAAAAAAAAATAATAATAATACAAAGTAAAAATTGCATTGGGTTTACCCATTTGGGTCAGGTCCAATTGATCTGGGCCAGGACCCAATTGGGTGTCTACAGCTGCCCCTCTTTGCACATTTTCTGTGAAATAGAAATTGCGCAAAGACGAAGACACCCAATAAAGACTCAACTCAACATTGTCATTTTTTGTTTTTTTTATTTTTTTATGTTTTATGTTTTTTTGTTTTTTTGTTTTTTGTTTTTTTGTTTTTTTTTTACCAAAGCTCCTATAAACAAAGGCTCAACGACTTTGAGAAACATAAATTGCTCCTTTAAACAGAGGCACCATGACTTTTGAAAATAAATTGCTCTTCTAAACAGAGGTACCACGACTTTGGAAAATAAATTGCTCCTCTAAACAGAGGCACCACGACTTTGAAAAAGTAAATTGTTCCTCTAAACAGAGGCACCACGACTTTGGAAAAGTAAATTGCTCCTTTAAACAGAGGCACCATGACTTTGGAAAAGTAAATTGCTCCTCTAAACAGAGGCACCACGACTTTGAAAAATAAATTGCTCCTCTAAACAGAGGCACAAATAAATTGCTCCTCTAAACAGAGGCACCACGACTTTGAAAAATAAATTGCTCCTCTAAACAGAGGCACCACGATTTTGGGAAAGTAAATTACTCCTCTAAACAGAGGCACCACGACTTTGAAAAGTAAATTGCTCCTCTAAACAGAGGCAACGAAACTTTGGAAAGTAAATTGCTCCTCTAAACAGAGGCACCACAACTTTGAAAAATAAATTGCTCCTTGGCAATCATGTCCAAAGGAGTTTGAAAGTTGTGTTTGAAGGAATTTCAGGAGATTATGTCCAAAGGTCTTATAAATCAACTCTGATACCAAAAGACATCCTATTTCAAGGATTAGGAACTTACCTGACACGCTTTTTTTTTTCAATTCTGCAAAATATCTTCATATCTGTCTTCTCTATGTGGATGTTGGAACACCTCTGCTTCTTGAATTTATACACTATACTTTCTTGAAAGTAGTGTATGCTGTGCAAATGCATATGAAAGTATTGTATGCTGTGCAAATGCATATGAATTTCAATGCATGCTATGCAAATGTTGGCCAATTAATTCCTGTTCAATGTATGGTACTCAAATTTCTCAAGCTCTTTTCTTAAGCATCAAGTCTTTTGATTCTTCAGGGATCCAATTACACTGTTCTTCTAAGATTGAACCAGTGTAGCTCTCAATTGTCTTTTTCACTCACATTCTTCTTTGTTCAGTTTCTCAATACTTTGGAATAAGCTTCATCAATCAATCATCACTTGACCATCACTCAATGAATTTTTCAGCACTAACAAATTTCAAAACAAGTTTCATCCACCATCACTGGGTCATTATTCATAGCTGTCTCAGCATTTACCGTTTCAAAATAGACTTTGTCCACTAATTGTTCTTATCATTCAATAACAACTTGCAAGTCATATCGACCAATTCATCTTTGTACTCATCACTTGGTTATATCACTTTTCAAGATTTGTCCCATTATATTCTTCATTTGATCACATCATATATCCTTTCAAATCATCTCTTTTAGGTTTCTACCATCATCTTAGATTTCTTTTCAAATGAATGCAAGACTCTTTTAAGCACAT